AAAATCAATTATCTCAAGCCATCACAAAAATTCTGTATATGGTCCAGTATATTTGCTTTAAGAAGGCAATATAGTACTTAATATACTTTAAAATGCTCCCATTGTTAATGTTTACAAAACTTTAAAGTTGTGTTAACATGTGAATAATAATAGTTACTCTTCTTCAGATCCTACTATTAGACAGTTACTTAAGTATATTGTCCCATTAAATCCAGTCAACAAGGTAGATGTTACTTTCTTGAATCCGTAAATGAGGAGATGGCTCTGTGAAAAATAAGTATTTGGGCTTCTCTAGTGGCAAAAGGGGTTAAGACGCAACCTATGAAGCTGTCTGCAGCTGCTGCAAAGCGAGTTCAACAGGCCAGGGAGATAACCACATGGTGCAGCAGACCTTTCCTGACTCACCCATTTCTCCCTTCAGCAGTGTATTTCAGTCAATCTGCCTGTTCTGTTCCCCACTCTCTGGCGAATCCTCTTACCCCCCACACCTCTGGCCTGTACCCCAGTTCTTGTATGCATGAATAAATAAATCTTTAAAAAGAAAAAAAAAAAAAGAAAAAGAAGTATTTGTCTTTCTTATCTGCAGAGCTAGTTGGAAGTCTTTGTATAGATATCCAAGCTCCTTGGGAAAAGATTGTTCAGAAAAATTTTGAATGTGTTCTAATAGTGTTTATTTTTATTTTTATTTTTTAAATATTTACTTTCTTTTTTTTTTAAGATTTATTTATTTATTCATACAAGCACTGAATTCATACAAGCACAGAATTCACCAGAGCCAGAGTGGGGAACAGAACAGGCAGACTGACAAAGTACACTGCTGAGGGGAGCAGCGGGCAGCAGGAGAGGTCTGTGCACCATGTGGGACCCTCGCCCGGCAGCCGAGGATCGAACTGGCGCTGTAGAGGCTGCGGGCAGCTTCGCAACCCAGCACTCAACTGCTGCGCCACTGGGGAGGCCCTAGTGTTTCTTTTTAAATGTCTGGGCTTATTAAAGTCCTTTGCAGAATTCTTTAGCAGTTAGACCATTTTTCATAATTCTGATAAGACAAAGAACTTTGTTCTCTAAATAGAAATAAAAGATCCCTCATCAGCTTGTACTAGCATTTCTCCATGTCTACCAAGAGCCAGATAGGTTGGTAAAGATAAGATGTGGGGAGGACCAGCTTTCTCTCAGTTTGGTTTTTCTTTTGAGATCATGTAACCCCATTCTGGACCTTCAAACTATATGTCATTTTTCTTGATGATAGTGGGTAAATGAACCACCAAGGAAAGGGCACATGTTTTCTATAGTTAATCAAACCCCACTATTGAGATGTAGAAATTTAGTGTGTGTGTGTGTGTGTGTGTGTGTGTGTACATGCATATGCAGCCAGTATGAGAGAGACCTACTCTTAATATATAACTCATACATTACAGCTTAAAATCAATAACTTGACATTCAGAATATTTCTCTCATAGAATTTGATTTGCTGGAAATAATTCAGCTATATGAATCCACAAGTTGGGAGAAGTATATAGTTGCAAGTATATAGTTGTCCCTAGGCATCCAGGTTATTGAAACAGAGACTTTTCTCTGTAGAAGAGAATTTTCTTTATAACTTTAGTTTAAATGTCATATGCACACTGTAATTTCATATGCAGACTGTAATTTCTTACATACATAAATAATAGAATTTATCTTAAAACTTTGTTCTGAATTAATACTAAAATTTGGAAAAGAGGATGGGGTGGAAGGGAGAAGTCAAAGATAAGACCTTTGAATAACAATGTTTAGGAATATAAGAGCAAGTCAGAAGAACTAGGATATCAACCAACTGAAAACACTGATTGCATGAGGCTTAATTTCAAAATATTTGTTTGTGGCCTGCCTTGTTCATTTGCAGGTTTTCTGCAGTTTAGTTTCTAAAGTTCTCCAAGGAAAAAAAAGAATAAGGTCGTTCTCTCAAGATACTCATGTGTTGGTCATCTAGTATTTTAAAGTTTTGTTGTTTTTTTTTTCTTAGTAAATCATTAAAGAGCAAGAAGAGCAAGGTTGTACTTTTCCTCCATTATCAGTGCAAAGAAAGAAGATGAGGAAGAAAAAGAAAATAAGAATGTGACTTGATTGCTAAAATTGTTCTTTTGCCATTTAGTTTTGATTGGATTGCCATAAAGAATAAGATACTGATAGAAATCATATATAAAATATTAACTTATAAATGAGACTTTAGTTGGTTAAGAAAAAACTCAATTTAAAAACCAAGTGTATTCTAACAGGGTATATGGATTATTAACTTCATAAACATGAAACTGAAGAAGGCATGTTTGACCAGTTTAGTCAATCTGGCATTAAATGTTCTTCCAAAAACATAATCCAAAGAGCTGCTGAATTAACATGATGCTTGTGACAAAGGAAGCAGGAAAGTCAACACCAGTGATAAGAACAAATATGATCTTAGAATCAATATATCTATAAATGTTGATCATTTTTAGATTAAATCCAAGGATTCCATGACCAGTCATTGACTTCCACTAATTAATTGATAATTAGATAGAGTCCTTCAGCTATTATGATTTGGGAAATAATTATATTATACTTCATAGTCTAGGAAGATAGCAAGAATGTCCAGAAGGAAAGTGTAGGTTACACGACAATCCATAAACTTATGCCATGTCTTTATCTATCTTTGGAGTAGTGAAATTCTTTTTGACTTTACTGCAACTTTTTGCATGATGAGAACATAGTTGGATGGCTCTTGGTATGAATCATTTACTGCCACTTCATCTATTACCATTAATTCACTAGATAAACTCTGAAGAACAGATTTATGATTTGATTTTTGTCTTCATATGTTAAAATTGATCTATTTCTGGCAGGTTATATCCAGACATAAGTGTTATGGATCAACTAGGCTCAATCCCCAATACAATACAAAGAGAACATCTCATCACTCTGCATGTCTGCCCAGGTACAGTGTTGAGACAGTTACTCTCAACAAAACAAACACATATCTATTGCAAATAGAGTAACATTTTCCCCTGAAGTATCATTTCATATTCATATTTATTTTATTAATACAAATATATTTTTTCCCAATTGTATGTTCATGCCAGACAGTTTGAGGATTAACTTTTTTTAGGGTATGAAAATTCAGTTATGCACACTAAAAATAAGCATGATTTAGTCCCGAATGTAATAAAATAGTTTGTCACTTTTCTGAGACTTTTTAAGAGTTGAAGTCCTGTATGGCTGAGAAGACATTGCAGGCATTAGACAAAAATGTTTAAGAATTCCTTCTTACTATGGATAACATTTTGCTGCTCTTATGTCCATAGATGTGTAGTGGAGGGAATATTTTTGCTCTACCTTTTTCTACTCTTTAACTGTCTAATAATTAAGTTGAAATAAGACACATTAACAGGAGGAAAAAAATTGATTTCATATGTATATTAAAGCCCATAAAAACCTGTGTCTCCCTCGCAGGTAATTGCAGTTTATATGGCATCCTGAGCTAAGGAGAAGAGGAATAAGGCCTGGTGCTTCAGGATGAAGGAAGACAATAAGAAGATAGGAAGAGCAAATGATTGGTAATCAAATATTTTTCATGCCATTCAGAGAAAAAGGAGCACAGAGAGGATTTTAAACAAACCTTGCTGAGTTCTCTCCTGTCTACCACAATTAGCTCAAATTCTTTGTAGCTAATTCTAGTGATAGAGTGCTTCAAGAAACAGACCCTCTATATAAATTACTTTACATAGCTAAAAGAAAGGTAAGAAAAAAATATTCCTGAGTTTGCCAGGTCTTAATTGCCTTCAGCTCAAAACAGTCCACATACCGAAAATACCCATTTTGGGATGGCCTATTTGCTCCTCCGCAATTCAAAGCATAGGCTTTTATAATGGTTATGGATAATTTTACAAAATACATAATAAGAATGATGTAATCAACTGCTAGCATACTGAAAGCTGGACATTTTATAAAGCATTATATACAGAAACTTTTGAAATAGGTGCTACTCTAATAGAAAATTGAGAGTTAGAAAGGTCTCATGTAGAAAAATCAAGGTAACTATCTGACTTCAGAGTTCAAATTCTGAATCTTTATGAAATGACAATATTAGCTAACACTTACAGAGCTAATATTATGTGCTGCTTTTAATCTATGTTATTTTTATGTATTTATTCATGATTTACTTATAATCCTTACAACAACTCTATGGAGATAGGTAGTAGTATTTCTATTTTATAGATAAGAAATTTAAGTTAAAGGGAGTTATATAGCTTTCCCAATTCCAGGCACTAAGCAAGTTGTGGTTTCAGAATTAGATCTATGCAGTCTGATTCTAGAGCCCCCATAATTAACCACTATGTTTCACCACCTGGAATTTTCTAAATTCACTGGAGCTTGATGACTAAAAATTTTGACCCAGCAAGAATGTGCATTGTTGTTTGTTGACTGTGTCCTTGCATTTTCTTGCAGAACAAGAGAGCTGTGCTTATCAAACCCCACCCACTGGAGTGCAGAAATTCAAGTGGTTCAAGTAATTTAATTTCTCAAAACTTCATTTAAAGCAATAAGTAATTCATAAGTGCCACTGACAATGGTCCTATGAAACTCCTCAAATGAAAAGACAAAATGACTTCTTTGAACCCTGGTTAGCACTCTTATGTCTCTTTCCCATTTCTAGGACAACTTAATTGACTATTATAGGGAGTCAAACTTGTCTAACAGAAAGGGAAAACCTTTATCATATGTTGGTCTAGCAATGAAGAAGCCCTAGTCTTGTCATAACCTTGTCTTGACCTTTTTATGATCTTGCAGTCTCCATAAGTCCTTTTATCTAGCAAATCTTCCAAATATATATTGAATCGCTGTCTCTAGGTTTTGTAATAAAAATTAACCAAAAAAATCCATGAATTTTCTCCTCCCTTGATTTACATGTTTGAGTACTTGTTCCTTAAAGTCAAATGCCTCCTCTATGGAGCTAATTCACAGGTTTGACCCATACTACTTACTGTTTGTGCTACAGTCTTGACATTTGTATCACTTCACAATGTTCTTTTTTCCAAGGAATCTTAGTACTTTTCTATTCTGGAAAGCTAGTACATTTCCTAGAAGGTAAAACACACATTAAAAAAAACAAGATAGTTGATCAAGAAACTTTCCTTTCCTGAATGTTTTTAATCAGATCTCCAGTTTTCATTTCAATTTTCAAACAAATGATTATCATTTTCTATATACCTTAGAGGATGGTAATTCCTTTGATTACTAGAGGCATTTTTGAAGTGTTTCTGCATAATTCAAACTGAATGTAGTATTCAGAAACTGGCATTATCAGGGTATATGTATTAATTATTCATATGCAAATTAAGAATCATGGGACCTAGCACCACTGGAATATGTAACTTTTGCTGCCTTTTCTAAAGTAGTAGATTTCTTATACCTCTGTGTTAAAATTTCTTTGTATAACATTTTCCAGTTTACCAAACAAATGGCTAATCATATTAAAATCTTAACTTCTGCATTAGCGAAGGCAATTACAAATATAAGAATGTGGAAATTGTTAATGTAAAATGATTATACTTTATGGTTCATCTTTTTCAGTTCCCGGAAGCAGAAGTATATGTCTTTTTGGATGTTTTTCCTTTGTGAATTATATATTTCAAACATTTCACCTCTAAGGCTACTTTTCTCATACTTGAACATTTTCTATTTATACCCATTGATTTTTCCCTAAAGTAATATACAGAGAAACATAATTCGAACCTAAAGATACAATAAGTGTTCACCTGATCATCACTTCCAACCTTACAATCCTCATTTCTACTGTGTGACCTCTTCACTGATGGAGAACAAGGGAATATAGATAAAGACAGAGGAGTAATCATTAAAAGCAGCAGTCTCAGGATACATTACATTTTAAATATCAAAAGCAGACTTTGAAGTAGATTTAGAGGTGAAACTCTTCACTTGAACTTTGGAACCAGAACGATGTCTCATTCTTTACATAATGAGTCATCATAGACCATGAGTCCCGGAGACAGGGAATAATAACAGGAGATGCTTTAGCCTGTATCCCTGGAATACTTACATGACAATCTCCAACTCTAAGTCAAGGATAACAAGAAGGGAAAGAATGTTAGAATATCAGCTTGTGAAACTTCTGTTTCAAGCAGATATATTTACAGAAATGCTGGATAGTAACTGGACTCACTGTTCACCTATATGGAGTTTACCTAAATAGAAGTTGGTCTTTGACGTCAATATAACTGTTGTTCTACTTTGTATACGCATTCCCTCTCCCCTTAAGGTGCCTTTGCCAATTCCCCAAATCTTTAGCCACATTAACTTCCCTTCTTTCACCACCATTCTCCTATGAAAACCTATACTTCAAAAAGATTCATATTTAGACATTTAGAGTAAAAATCAGATTGAACACATAACAAAAAAGAAAATATCTTCAAAAATAAAAAAGGAAGGGAAGAGGTAAAAATGTGTTGTTTTTATTGTATGAAGGCCTTAAGTTATCAGATTCTCATCAACAGATCACAATTTCCTTCCTGAGGTTTTGGAGTTAAAGGTTAACTTTAACAATTGAAAAGTGCACCCCAAACACTCCAAACATGAGGTGCTCTGACATGATTTTTGTTGTGTGTTGTTTCCAGTATTATATCTTGCATTTTCCCTGAGATTTTGTGGAGATTGCATTAGTTTAATTTTTTTTTGAATATCGCCGATATCAAAAGTACAGCTGTGCTTTGATTTACCCCATAACTAGACACAATGTCTACAAGCAATGTGAACTGGAGAGAGGAACAATTAGCTACTGCATATTATCCCTGAAGCTACTTTTCTCCTAGTTGTTTCTTGTATCATGGTTATCAGAGAAATTACTTCCTCCTGTCTAGTGTATAGCTGCCATATCTTGGTCCCTGTGGCACAAATGTGTAATAAAATGGTCTTGGGGTGTTAGGATTTTATAGGTAGGAAAACAAAGCATTTGATTAGATCCCTAAAATAAAGGCATTAATTTTATGTATATGATATCTTGTCTGAAAGCTACCACAGCGGATATTTGCAATTTCTGACAGGACTTTTCAAATGATGTCTTTGAATGTATTTTCAGTGGTGAGATGAAAACGTTTGAATTTGTGTTTCAGTCACTCTTTTAAAATGGGATAGAATCCTCATCATGTAAAATGTGGTTCAGATGTCAATACTGATGATACTACACACATACCAAATAGGTACGAAGAGGTTTACTACTACATAATGAGTTCTCTAGGGAGAACAGGGTGACTTCTAAGCAAGTCAAAAGTTTCTAGAAAGAGCAGCAAAGGAGACTGTCTTGGGATTTATGATGGCAGTTAAGAAGGATGGCTTGGGATGAAGAAATGGGGTGAGTGCCAGCAGGGCTGGTGTGGTTTAAACTTCTTGTAAGAGGAGCACTGGTTTTCCTTATCCACACTCAGTGTAGGGCAGAAGGCGGAGGCAGGGCTACAGCTTAATGACTGCAAGAGTCAGGCATCTAAAATGAAATAAGACTTTATCGTAATTTGCATATAATATTCTCTTTGTAATGAGTATTTGGTATCAACTTACTGATCATAATTTCCAAGGTTTCTAGAATTCATTCATTTTCATTAGTCTTCTTACCTAACTGTTGACTAAGACTGATATTTTTTTAATAGATGGGGTATTTATTAATACAGCTTATCAAATAGAAATAAATGATGTGCAAGTTGTTCTCCATAATAATGATTAGCTTACTGTACTATTTTTAATTTTTAGACTGTCTATTTTTGCCTATGTTAATATAAAGCATTGCTTTTTAAACTTTGGTGTGCCTAAAAATCACCTAAAATTATTGTTAAAAAACAGAATGCTGGGCCTCCCCCGTAGCATAAGGGTTAAGTCTCAGAGCTATCACCACCAAGCACTGAGTTTGATCCCTGGCCAGGGAGCTAACCCACATAAGGTACAGCAGACCTCTCCTGTCTCAACCACTGTTCCTGTTAGCAGTGTATTTCAATAGATCCACCTGTTCTGCTCCCCACATTATCTATGGTGAATTCTCTCACCCCTACACCTTTAGCCAACACCCCAGTTCTTCTATGCATAAATAAACAAAATCCTTAAAAATAAAACAAAACAAAACAAAACAAAACAGAATGCTTGACCCCATCCCCAGAGGTTCTAACTTAACAGGTCTAAGGTAGGACTTAAGATTTCTAGCAAGTTCCTTGATAATGTTTACTCTGCTGATGTAGAGCCCACACTTCAAGAGGGAGGTTGAATAATATCTTTAATGACTAAACTACTGTTTAAATAGTCTGGGGATGAATAACAATTACAAATAACAAACAACAAAATTGGAACCCATGCTTCAGGGCCCCTGTCCACATGTGTAGATTTATTGAGAGGGCATACCCTTGTCAACTTTCACCAAGGAAGTGGATTCACAGACAATACAGAGACAAGTATTTAGAACAAAAGAACTGGAACATTTCAGGTGAGTTATAGTTGGAGAGTGGAGAGTGAACTGAGGAACTGAGATACAACTGTTAGATTTTTTTACAGAAGTTGCCTTCTGTCTACTCATAATGGTTTTTAGGGTTATACTTCATAGGGCACATAAGGGTTAATAAATGTTCATATACAGAAGGCAATGACCCAGAGACAATGATCCAGGCAGAGGAGGTCCTGGGAGTTTAAAGAACAGTAAGGTACTCTAGGGAGTCATCACAATTTTTATAACACCACGTTGATTCTCTTCTCCACTCTTAGGTTGTCTTTTTATTTTTCCTCAGTCTTCCTTCAGTCATACAAGAAAATGTATTTCTCCTTTGAATTATCTCTCCTTACAGAATTTGGGTTCTTTGTATGTGTGGTGAAGGTCAACAATATGTCTTAAAGATTTTCTTGTAACTATATACCTGTACAAACATGAAAATCAGTACTCAGTAAATGATAAATACCTTAGTAAATATTTTAAATAATCATAATAATCTAGTGAATTAAAGTAAATTGAAAGATGCATGTTTTCCTCAGTCCAACATTTTCAATTTTCACTTTAATTTTGGTCTAGACCTCATATTAGTATTACGACCTCCATGAAATCATGAGGCCAGAAGTCTAATTTGTTATCATCTAGGGACTCTTCCTCCATTCACAAGAATTAGGTATCTACTGCAGTATTTCTAGTACAGGACATATGCTGAAAGGGAAGGCTTTTAATCTGACATTACAGTTAAATTCAAAGTCAGACATGTTTTTTCACGTTGTATATTAGGATTCATATTTGAGTTTTTAAGTATATTTTTGCACAAAGGGCCAAAATGTGATATTTATATTACATTTTAAATCTTGAATTTGCTATGCAAATCCATTTCTACTAAAATATGAGATAATTATATGTAATTAACTTTTCCACATAAATGTCCCAAATTTTAGATCCTGACACAATGTACATTTTTAGTGTAAGAACTGTTTTGATTCATCAGAGGCATGTCAAGATCTAAGAATGTTTGTTGTCTCCCTAAATATAATCTACATAAATAACAATACAAAGGCAATTGAGTGTCAATTTATTGTAGATTTTAAATATTATTGGTCATAAGAGATATTCTTTCCAGTCTTTCTATCTTGATTTCCTCAGTATTTTTGTCTCAGTAAGTTTATCCTAACCTGAAACTGTGATCCTTTTCCTTGACTAATATTTTTCAGTGTTTATATATTGCCAAAAAAGTGACATCCAAATAAATTTCACATCATCCAATGCCCTTCACAATATAGCTTTTACCACTGTATTCATTCTTATCCCCCACCATTTGTCTCCTTATACTTCATATCTGAAAAATATTGAATTGAACTGCTTTACATTAAAAAAAAATGCTATTTCCAAATTCCTTTCCAATGAGTATATTATTACTTCCACTTGAAATTATTTTCATACTGAGCAACTACATATTTCTGAAACTTTCTTTCCATTTTTGTTCAAATGTTTTGCCTTCCTTGAAACATTATGCCACCTCTTATTCAATAAATGGTGCTGGGAAAACAGGGTCACTACATGCAAAAGAATGAAGCTTGACTACTACCTAACACCATG